TTTTTTTTTCAACAGCGTTATATTTAATCTCTACTGTGTAATTCCTATGTATGTCTGTACGTTACTGGAAGCTCCTGACAGATTCTTTGCGTGTAAACATACTTAGCACTAAAGCTCTTTCTGACTTCTGACTAAATTATGGCTACAGTAGTAAAACCATTATTGATTTCCATAAGCGTTGAGAAAAGGCGAGGGAACGCTCTATGTTAAGTCACAGAAGTCAGAAAAACAGCATGCACAAACACAGCTAAAACGCATTAAATGAATAAAACAGATTATATACACTTTATAACACTTACCGTCTGAGTGCTCCAGTCTTCTTCTTCAGTGGTTTTACCGGTGGACCACAGCTCGTCACAGCGCCTCCTACAGCACGAGCGAAGAAGTGAGAAAATAACAAGCGGCCAAAGTCTGAGTGGTTAGAGTGCATTTCTCCGAATTCTCACTAGTCAAACTAGGAGCAAGAGCATATGTTTTTAGGTATTTACATTAAATTATGTGTGGTTTTATTTCTTAATCAGCAGTCTGTCGATGCGCTTCCGCTCCAGCACAGACGGAGGCGCTCGAGGCTCTTCAGCGCGAGTAAACAAACCACAGAGCGACCGAAACAACAGCTTACAGTTCGAACCCTCAACCGGTGCGCGGTCTAGCATGTTTTACAGCATCTACCAGATTTATATTTACGCTTATGTTCGATTTATATTGTTTTATCTCTTTATGGGTTTATTGATTTTGTCTAGTTATTGTTTTTTTTGTTTTTCGTTGTAGCTACGTGCCGACCGCTAAATGAGTGCATTAAATGCAATAAAATTATATATATATATATATGCGTTAAATAAAGGAGATTATATATCATACAATATATGAACGCTGGATCAAAAATGAAACTGAACAACATTTACATTTCTGAATGTTCTCGGAGATCAGATTCATATTAATAGATCAGTTCTGCTCACTTTCATAATCATAATCAGTCATTCTGGGTTTAAATGAGTGTCATTATAAATGCTTCTTGTAGTAATCATGCTGTGTGTGTTCAGATGCTGAGCATGAAAGCGCAGGTGGATGTGCTCTGCTGTAAATCAGTAGGAACTGATCTGTCCATGCTGGAGATTGAGGATTTCATCTCAGAAATCTGTGGGCTGAAGAAAGAGGTGGCGTCACTGGAGGCAAAGCTGAGAGAAAGAGGAGAGGTTTGAGCAGCTCTTCATCCTTCAGCTCCGTCCAGTGAAACACTGGTTCACGAGTCACCTCATGAGCACAGCTAATGCATGGTTCAGCTAATGCATCTTGTGTTCTTCGCTCTCAGGACTCAGTCTGGAGCGCCAGAGCTCAGAGATCCAGAGACACACAGGACTCGGAGCTCAGCCTTAGTTTGCTCTGTTATACTGACGCTCAGGAGAGCGTGTGTGACGGTCATGGGTCCGTCACCTCCTCAGAGTCGCTGGGGTCTGACTGTAACGCTGGAGAGCTGCAGATGCTGCAGATGCCGATGAAGACGTGCTCCGTCAGACTGCTGGACTGCAGGAATATAAAGGAGACGAGAGAAGCATCCACTGGGGAGAAAGTACAAAGTGACGATGATGTTGACTTTATTCCTTCGGGTATGCTGCTTCCTTTAATATATTATCCTAACTGGTGCATCAACACATGGTTTTACATGTTTACAAGTCATTTAAAGTTTCTCAAGCGTAACCCGTCGTTCCACTTTTTGAGCATAGACCTGAAAATGACATTTCTAACTTAAATTCCAACAAAAGCAGACTTAAAGGGATAGTTCACCCAAAAATGAAAATGTGATGTTTATCTGCTTACCCGCAGGACATCCCAGATGTAGGTGACTGTTTCTTCAGTAGAACACATTTGATGATTTTTAACTTTAACCGTTGCAGTCTGTCAGTCGTATAATGCATGGCAATGGTAACAAAATCTGTGAGAGTAAAAACATGCACAGACAAATCCAAATTAAACCCTGCGGCTCGTGACGACACATTGATGTCCTAAGACACGAAACGATCAGTTTGTGCCAGAAACCCAACAGTATTTATATCATATTTTACCTCTAATACACCACTATGTCCAGCTGCTTTGAGCGCGCGCACGGCATCCGGTGCGTGAGGTGTGTACGCGCTCTGGCGTAGCTTACGTTAACAGGTGTGCTGATATCCAGCCGAAGAGCAATCAAGCATAACTTCAGGCGAGCAGGCTCAGAAG